CTCTCCTCGAAGCAAAAGTTCCAACTCCTCCTCGTCCTCCTCGGCTTCTGCCCCCAACATCCCCTCTCTTTCAGGGTTAAAAGCAGGGTCACCCTCGTCACTTTCCTCATTCTCCACTTCCTCCTCTGCCTCCTCGCTAAGCGGTCCTTGCCGCCCTCCGCGCCGTTTCGCATCAGCCTTTCCGCATTTCTCGCGTAGCCGCTTGCACCTGTGCGGCGCCTGTTGAACCTCGTGTTCCACCACCTCTTCGTCCTCTCTCGTTACCTCGTCGTCCGCGGCGGCTGCCGCGTCCTACGCGGATTCCACGCGTTGTTCTTCCAACAGCAGCTCCCTCGCGCCCTGTCTGCGGCGCCGCGTCCGTCTCGTTTTCGCTTCGTCGGCGCACTGGCGTCGGCTGCGGTACGATCAGGGGTGATGGACCCATCCGCGAGACGGGATCCGGAGCTGGAGGGTTCCGCGGAGAGCGCGCTGCCGCAGCCTGCGCCTGCCGGGCCTCGTCCGCGTCTCCTTGCGCACCCCTCCCGCAAGCGAGCCCGTTCGCCGCTTCGAGCGGGTGCAAAACACTTCCCCATCGGCCTGCCGCGCGCCCACCTCGCCGGAGTATTCGTGGGCGCCTGCCCGTGTTGCGTTGAACCGCCCGGACGGTCAGCCGCGGCATGAGCGTGGGTGCTCGCCTCCGCGTCAGCCTCCTCGGCCGCCCTCTCCTCGCCGCCATTCTCCTGAGCATCGCGAGCACTATCAGCGCGGGGAGGGGGATCAGCGTTCCCCTGCACGTCCTCGCTCTCCTCGCCGCCCATCCCCTCGTGGTCAGGCAGACCAGCGCTCACCCCAAGCGCGATCCCCCGCGCAACGCTCTCCGCGGCGATCTCCGGCGACGCGGGGGAGGGGGTCGCCTGGGCGTCGCTGGGATTCGGGTCGCCGCGAGCAGTCCCCCCCGCGTCCACATTCGGCTGGTTCCGGGGGACGGCGGGGCTGGCGGAAAGGCGGAGGGCGAGGCGGGAATGGCAACCAGCCGGATCCTGCCCTCGATCGATGCTGCGAACACGTTCGTGGAGGTGGTGAGGCAGGCCCGGGCGAGTGGGGCGCCGACTCACGTCCACATTGAGGTGACCAACGGTCCCCCCTTCGCCGCGGACCCCGGCCCATGTTTGCTCCTCTGCGCGCGCCGACGCTGCGCGAATATCAGCCCGCACGTGAGGGAAGGGCTCAGTTCCGCACCCCCCGTCAGGTTCCCGGCTTCTCTGCGCCGCGCTTATCTGTTGGCCGGACTCCTGGCTGGCCAGCGGCGTTTCCGCGCGAAGCGCTGACTGCACCTCCCCCCACTCGCGCGGGGAGAGACCCCATGCTGACCATGTGCCGGATTTTGAATCTAGCACAGGCGTGCGAGGTGGTGGCGAGCTTGCAGCTGGCGGTGTGTGTGGGGCCACGCGGAGCTTTCCGAGCAGTTTCGGTCCAGGGTCCCGAGGATCCTGCTTGACTTTGGCAGAATCGCTCGAGTCGCCGTTGGCACCCGTGTCGGATGCGCCCGCCGGGGTAGCTCCCTTAGCCCGTACTCTCCCCCGCCACGTAGGGGCTGCTCAAGCCGGGACCCCCTTGGACACGCTCCAGTCGTCGGCGCATCTCCTTCTCTGCAGTATCGGCGTGCATGCGCTCGATGCTTGAGGTGGAGGGGGCGGAGCCGTACACGAATGTAGGCCTACGCCGCGCGTAGAATTGCATGCCGCGCCTCTTGCTCTTGCCCAGCTCCTTGCCTTTGTGTGTGTGTGTGCCCTTTATAAGCCGAACCCACGTTTTGTGTCTTGCACCAGGAACGCGCGGCCGAAGGCCGCCGGCGCGAGCCGCCGAAAATGAAACACCCACGAAATAATGAGGCCGGGAAGGCACAGAGGGCCCCTTAAATAGGCTCAGAGGGAGAGGGCAGAGGGAAGAGGGAGAGGGCTGGATGCTAAGGCCTTCTCTCTCTCGCTCTCTCTCCGCCGAAAATGAAACACCCACAAAATAATGAGGCCGGGAAGGCACAGAGGGCCCCTTAAATAGGCTCAGAGGGAGAGGGCAGAGGGAAGAGGGAGAGGGCTGGATGCTAAGGCCTTCTCTCTCTCTCTCTCTCTCTCTCTCTCTCTCTCTCTCTCTCTCTCTCTCTCTCTCTCTCTCTCTCTCTCTCTCTCTCTCTCTCTCTCGAATGGTCCTGGTATTGATTGATGGGAGATACATGGGAAGATGCAAACACATGCAAACCCAGACATAACACTCGGTCTACCTAACTACCTCATTCCCTTACTCCCTCCCGCCCCCTCCGTCCGACCCTAAAGGTCGAACGAGGGCTCTATTAGCTGGTAGAGCTGGCCTTCGCTAAGGGGGGCAAAGGGGCCCCGCATGCCGAGCTCGTCCGCTGCTATCGCCTCGTTGGTCTTGCAGCGGAGGGCGTTGGCTTGTGCTTTTTGGAGGCACACGCTCCAGCGCTGGCGGTATTCCGTCAGCAGCTTGGCGGCCTCGTAGGAGTTGGGGGCTGCGTTGAATCGCAACTTGGCCGCCAGCTCCGCGCACTGCCGCAAGAATGCCAACACCCCGGGCGAGGGGTACCCATATGTCTCTACCGCTAGGGCATGAAAGCCCACCCCACGCATTCCGGAGCGCGTATTTCTGCTCCTTCTTGTCCGCAGCTGCCCTAGCCGCCCACCCCGGTGCTCTATTGCAGTTCTCATCTGGTGAGAAACGGGGTCCGTCACTGTCACGTCGCACATCCAAACCTCTCCCGTCCGGGGATGGCGGATTGCGACGTCCGCCTTCAGGTTTTCAACGAGAGAGTATACATAGGTTTCTTTGTGCACCGTGAATCCCGCCTCTGCCGCAATCAAAGCAATCTCGTCCCTGAGCGCATGGTGAGTCGCAATCCTTCCCCCCCCTTTCTCGCAACGCATGAGATGGTTTGGGAGGCGGTCATCAAGGAATTTGGTGCGGTAGCGGCAGTCGCAGCGCCTGGGGACAGGTAGGGGGAGGCCCAGGCGGAACGCAGCAGCGGAGGAGAGCTGGGAGGGTCCCATCCTAAGCGAGGGTATGATGGGTAGTGCCAGCAGCCAATCTCCCGCACCAGGGCCGAGCACCGACTGCTTTCTCTGGGCATGGCCAGAGAGGGGGTTGGGGCGCATCCGCCTTGCCTCGTTCATGACCCTCAGGAAGCGGCGTGTCTGAACCGCCAGCGCTAGAGACTGCTGCAGCTTGAGGCACTGTGGGTCTGCTTTCCCGGCCTGGAGAGCTTCTAGAGCCTCGGGGGGGAGGGCTGCTTCCGCTGCTGCAAGGCGTGCAGGCAGGGCGTGCGCGGAGCCGGAGGTGGGGTCCATTAGGGGGAGGAGGGCTGCTACATCTGGGTGGAGTGCCTCGGCCAGGGAGTGCAGTAAGTGGGAGGTGCCCACCACGGACGCAAGGTACGCAGAGCTCCCTTCAACTGCAGGATTTGTCATGCCAAGCCCCCCCAATGTTACGGCCAGCGCCGCTTGCCTCCACATTCTCCTCTGTTCCGCCTCACTCCTTGGCAGCATGATATGGGCCGCGTCCAGGAAGGTATGCAGCAGTTGCCCCCCCCATGCCGCCCATTCATCCTCAGGTAGTGCCTCTAGCGGAGTGGTTCTGGCCAGGAAGGATGCTCGCCGGCCCACGCAGCGGGTGAGTAGCAGCAGGCACAATTGGGGGTCCATTTGGGCCAGGAGCGGCAAGGGTTCTGCTGCTGCTGCAAGCCTTTCCCTTACTCTGGCGGCACAGCCATCTGAGGTCCCGATTGGGCTTCCTAATATCCGCAGTCCGTCTGCTGCAATGGGGAAGCTCGGAGGGAGAGAGGCGGGGTCTATGGCGGTTGCAGACCAAGCCTCAAACTTCCCAAGGTTGTGCTCGAGGCCTATGTGGATCAGTGCGGCAATGAGGTGTGTAAATGCCGCCGTGCACGCTTCTGCTTCGCCTAGCAGCGTTATGTCGTCTGCATAGGCGAGAATGACGACCCTTGGGTGAGCTAGTGCCGTTGCGGTAAGGTGTGGGTGGATGCTTGCCGCAAAGAGCAAGGGGCCAAGAGGGTCCCCCTGGCGGACGCCTCTAGCACTTAGCAGTGGAGCCACGCCGAAGTCATGGTCGAGGTGGAGTGCTGAGGGAGTTCCGTAGGAGAGGCGGACAAGGGGCAGAAGGCTTTCAAGGGACTCGTTCTTGAGCCCCTCGAATACCGCCGCCCTTTCCACCGCGTTAAACGCGTTGGCGAGGTCAATCTGCAGCGCCACCGAGCCCGGGTTCTCCTCCAGGTATGTGCGCGCAGTGTGAATGGCCGCCTCAATCCCTCCAGCCACTGCTACCCCGAACTGTAGTGGCGCGAAGTGTGATCGTGCCGCCGCCCCAGTCAGGAACAGTGTTGCCTTGGCCACTATGCGAAGAAGGCATTCGCCCACGGCTATCGGTCGGGTCCCCCCCTGCGGTTTTGTGAAGGCCAAGAGCCGTGAGGCTGTGAGGAGCTCGGTGGCCTCGCTGCTGAGTTTCCTGGCTATAGCTGTATTGGTAAGTGCGAGGAGATGGGCGAAGGTGTCTGGATTTCCGAGTGCAGCATCGCGTATGTGCTCGAAGGTTGTGCCTGAGGGCCCTGCTCCCACCCCGTTTGGGAGTTTGGCTACGATGCGCCTGAAGTCGCGCGGCTCTATCGAAGGGGTTTTCTCGGGGAGAAGGTGCGTATCCATTCTGGTAAGGGCTGGAGTGCTTGCGGGTGTCGTGCTGCTAATGCCGCGTACACTTCGGAGGAGGCAGGTGAGACCGGAGTGGCTTGGAGGGACTGTAGTGACTTGGCCAGGTTACCACGCTTGGCCAGTCCCTCCGCTCTAGCAAGGATGCCCTGAGTGTCAGGTACGTGACGTGGCTGGGCTGGGAGGGAAATTGCTTCAACTGCCTCGTCGTACAGGCCAGACCAGAGTCCCTGGCGGAAACGGAGGAGGCGATTCATCATCGCGTTCCAGTCTGGTTTGCGAGCTGACGAGGTGCGTAGGAGGATTCGCGGGAGGAAAGTCGGTAACCTCCACCCCGCGGTCGAGTTGGGATTGGCTGCCAGGTGGAGTAGTGGGGTGAGTAGGCAGACTGCGAATGATTCGCGAAGGTCTTTTGGCGGGTGACGGGCGAGGGGGGGCTGGCGACTGTCGCGCAGTGGGTCCAGGTCCCAGCCTGCGACTTGCGCGAAAAGGTCCAGTCGTTTCGCCAAGTCGCCTGGGTGGATCATTGGTGGGGTTGGAGTTGGGGTTGGGGTGTTCCTATTGGTTGCGGCAGAGTCAAATGTGATTTCTGCCGCGGTCCGATTTCCCCTCCAGGCCTGATTTCCCCCCACATTCCGATTCCTGGCTGGGGTTCGTGTTGCAGACGCGGCTCCAATTTGTTGGTCCGGGAACTCAGCCCCACGAACCAAGAGCTCCTCATCATCTTCATCAGCTTCAGCATCCAAACCTCCCTCCGTTTCGGGGTTAAAACCTGGGTCACCCTCGTCGCTCTCGTCATTCTCCGATTCACCACTCTCCCCCCTGCTAGCGGCTTCCTCGCCGCCTTCCGCGCCTTCCCGGAGTAGTCGTTCTGCTGTCCTCGCATAGCCGCTCGCGCCTGTACGTCGGCCTCCTCTCCTCCCAGCTCCTCTTCCTCGGCGTCCTCTCCCGCCTACGCGTCGTCCGCCAGGTGTGCCACTCCGCGCGATTGGGCTGTGCATTACAGGCGTGCGGTTTTCGCCGATCTCCTCCCCTGCCGAGCGGGGCTCTGGCGTCCTCGGCTCACGCCTCGGTCGTGATGGCGAGGTCCGTGGGTCGTGACCGCGCCTTGGAAGCAACCGCGGAGAGCGCTCAGCTTGTTGCGCAGCCAAACCCCGAGTATGCGCCTCCGCGTTCCCAAGTGCAGGCTCGTCCTGCTGCGTCGGCGCCCGTGCGCCGTCTTGAGCGCGGGTTGTCTCTTCCGCTGCGCGGGGCGGATCGTCACGCGTCTCCTGAGCAATCCCGTGCTCCCCTAGTCGTCGCGTCGAATGCCTTGCCGGCGCGTCAGGAGCGGGGCCGGTCCCCGCCGCCTCGTGGATATCGACCTGCGTCCCCTGCGCTTCGCGCCCCCGAGCCGCATGACTCTCGGCGACGATGGGACGAATATCAGCGGGAAATTCAGCATTGCGACCGCCGCTACCGCTCTTCTGAGAGGTCGCCGGAGAAGCGCTCCCCGCGGGAGCGGTCCCCTCCGCAGCGGACGCCGCGGCCGTCGCCTCCGCGTCGGGGTCGCGGGGCTCATGCGGGCCGTTGGGATTCTCGCCGCCGTGAGCAGTCCCCGCCCCGTCCTCAGTCGGCTGGGTCTGGAGGGCGTCGTGGGCGGCGGAATGGTTATGCGCGCGGCGGGGGTAGTCGTGGCCAGGGCTCCACTGCTGACCGCGCGGGGAATATGGTGGCGGATGCAGTGCGGGAGGTGGAAGCGTCGGGGGCAGCGGCTCACGTTCACGTGTCTGTGACCACTGAGCCCCCCACCGCACCTGTTGCGGTTGAAGCCGCTCCGCTGCGCGCTCCGACCTTGCGGGAGTATCTGCCAGCTGCAGCGTCGAGGGGGCCGTTCCGCGGACCCCGCCAAGCCCCAGGTTACCCTGCTCCTCAGAATACGGTTGGCCAGACTCCGGGCCAGGTGGCGATGTTTCTGCCGCGCGGAGTTCCGACTGCGCCTCTCCCCAGCCGCGCGGGGAGAGATCCCACGCTGAGCATGTGCCGGATGTGGAATTTGGCGGGGGCGGCTGAGGGGCTGGCGAGCCTGCAGCTGGCGGCGTGTGAGGCCATGCGTCACACACCGAGCAGTTTTGCTCAAGGGACCCAAGGACAGTGCGTCGCTTGGGCAGGAGAGATTGTCCCCCTTTTATCGCCCGTGTCGGATGCGCCCGCCGGGGTAGCACCCTTAGCCCGTACCTTCCCCCGCCTCGCTCTTGATCTTCACGCTGCGGCTCAGCACGGGACCCCTGTTGACACTCTTCGCTTCTCGGCGGAGCTTCTCCACTCGATGGCGGGGTGTCTTCTCGCGATGCTTGAGGCGGAGGGGGCTGGCCTGTACACGCAGTAGAGCGGCGTCTCGTGTAGTATTGCATCTTGGTCGTAAGGTGATGCTCTCCAGTTGCTTGATTTCTTCCTTCTTGGAATGCCTTGCTTGATCAACTCCTTGTGTGAGTGTCTTGCCTCTGAAACGCGCGGCCGAAGGCCGCGCTGGCGAGCGGCGGCGGCCGAAAGCCGCCGGCGCGAGCCGCGGAAAACTGAGAACACACGAAATAATGAGGAGAAGAAGGCACCAAGGGCCCTTAAATAGGCTCAGAGGAAGAGGGTCGAGGGAAGAGGAAGAGGGCTGGGTGCTAAGTCCTCTCTCTCTCTCGCTCTCTGAGCCGCGGAAAACTGAGAACACACGAAATAATGAGGAGAAGAAGGCACCAAGGGCCCTTAAATAGGCTCAGAGGAAGAGGGCCGAGGGAAGAGGAAGAGGGCTGGGTGCTAAGTCCTCTCTCTCTCTCTCTCTCTCTCTCTCTCTCTCTCTCTCTCTCTCTCTCTCTCTCTCTCTCTCTCTCTCTCTCTCTCTCTCTCTCTCTCTCTCTCTCTCCCGCTTTCCTGTAATTACCTTTCCCACCATGCTCCCATCCCATCTAGGTCACACCAGAGGAAGCCCAGTCGTTCGAGGTCACTGTGTCCCTTTCATCGCCATCGAACGCCCTTCCCGCCCTCTCTCACCTTTCTATTGCCTGTAATCACCGTTTTTGCTGGTGCTTCACCTTTCCCCTCCCCCCCTCATGCGCCCATCCAGGTCACACCAGAGGAAGCCCAGTCGTTTGAGGTCACTGTGTCCCTTTCGTCGCCGTCGAACGCCTTCCCCCCTCTCTCTCCCTCTTGCCTATAATCGCCTCCCGCCTTTATCATCCCATGCAGGTGACACCAGAGGAAGCCCAGTCGTTCGAGGTCACAGTCACCCTTTCATCGCCGTCGAACGCCTTTCCCCCCGTCACCCGTGCGTTCAACATCTCCTTCTGCTCTGCGGGCGAGTTCCTCAATACCTCCTCGCTCACCTGCGACGATTGCTTAGTTGGCCACTGGTGAGTTGAAGACAAATGCAAGACCTATTTGTTTGATTTTGTGTGTTGTGTTTTGTTCTGTGTGTGTGTGTGTGTGTGTGTGTGTGTGTGTGTGTGTGTGTGTGCGTGCGTGCGTGCGTGCGTGCGTGCGTGCGTGCGTGCGTGCGTGCGTGCGTGCGTGCGTGTGTGTGTGTGTGTGTTATTATTATTGTTGTTGTTATTGTTATTATTGTTATTATTATTGTTATTATTGTTATTATTGTTATTATTGTTATTATTGTTATTATTGTTATTATTGTTATTATTGTTATTATTGTTATTATTGTTATTATTGTTATTATTGTTATTATTGTTATTATTGTTATTAGAAGCCTCCCCCCTTGTCACCCGCGCTCCCCAGGTGTGAGGCGGGGCAGCCCATGCAGCCCTGTCCGGACGGGTTCTTCTCCTTCTACCCGCGGGCCACCTCCCCCTCCCAATGCACTCCCTGCACCGACGACAACCTCGACTGCACCTACGGCATCCTCACCGTGGGGTACCAGAGCTGGCTGGACCTGCAGTCTCTGAATAACACCCCTACGACGTACAGCTGTCTGGTGGCGGATGGGTGTGCGGGGTACGAGTACAACGAGCAGTGGGGGCAGACCACTGCCCAGGGAGTCATGGTGCAGTGCCAGCAGGGCTACGACGAGTCCATCCCGTGAGTGTTTCCACTGGGGGTAAGGTAAGTGCCTGAGCGTTTGGGGCAGAGGGTAGGGCTGAGGGAGTACCAACAGTGGGGTACGAGCTGGCTGGACCTGCAGTCGCTGAACAACACCCCTACCACGTACAGCTGTCTGGTGGCGGATGGGTGTGTGGGGTACGAGTACAACGAGCAGTGGGGGCAGACCACTGCCCAGGGAGTCATGGTTCAATGCCAGCAGGGCTACGACGAGTCCATCCCGTGAGTGCAGCTGCTGCTGGTGGGGTCCTGGGTGCACTGTGGGATGAGAATATCGGCCATTAGTGCGCATTGCCCTCCCCTCCCTTTTGCTCTCTCCTTTACACCTCCACACACCTCTCTCTTTCTTGTTCCCCCTGCCCTCAACCCCCCCAACCACAGCACGTGTGCAGGGTGTATGGACGGCTACTTCCTCGTGTTGCAGCAGTGCACTCAATGCTGCTTCTCCCCCTCTGTCTCTCTCACCTTGTCCCCCACATTCTCTCTCCTATTCGTGTCCCCCTGTCAACCCCCAACCACAGCACGTGTGCGGGGTGTGTGGACGGCTATTTCCTCGTGCTGCAGCAGTGCACTCAGTGCAGCAGCACTCTCACGAGGGTAAGTGTGCGCTTTATCTAGGAAAACACAGTCTCACTTGGGTAGATACACATGCTCACTTCTTCTTCTCCCCTGCCCTTTCCTCCCTTCCTTCGGCCTCCCCCCCAGGTTTTCCCACTGCTGCTCATCCTGGTCATCCTAGCGTGGATGGGAATGAACATTCTCGCCGACACATTCAGCAGCATGGACATCTTTCTCAATGATCTCCAACTGCTAGTCATGATCGCCTCTTTCAACCTCAACTACCCTGACCGCTGGGTGCAGACTCTCGTGAAAATCTACAACTTTGCAGTATTTGACCCGGTGAGATGGAATTCAGAGGTGTGCAGTGTGGTGTGGTGAGGTTGTGTATGGCGCAGTGCAGTGGTGTGTGGTTTGGGTGCGGTTATGAACGACCTGCAGCTGCTTGTCATGATCGCCTCTTTCAACCTCAACTACCCCGACCGATGGGTGCAGACGCTAGTCAAGATCTGCAACTTCGCGGTTTTTGACCCGGTAAGGAGGTGTGCGGTGTGGTGAGGTGGGATGCTGTGGCGTGTGGTGCAGTGCGGTTCTGTGTGGCTCAGTTGCGCTTATCAGCTGTGCAGCTGCAAGTCATAATCACCTCCTTCGACGTCAAACTCCACCTCCGCTTCCCTCTCCTTACACTCCATTCCATCCGCCTCACCCCCTCCCCCCACCCGTCAACAGGACGCCATCGGCCCGCAGTGCATATTCAACTACACCTACGTGTATGAAGATTTGTTTTGAGACGTCTCAAAACATCTCATCCCCCTCCCCTCCTCCCCCCCCCCCCAACAGGACGCCATCGGCCCGCAGTGCATATTCAACTACACCTTCATCTCCGGAGTTTCATCTCCCCACCTCCCTCCTGACGTTTCCCGCTTCCCAACACCCTTCACCTCCCCACTCCCCCACCCGTCAACAGGACGCCATCGGCCCGCAGTGCATATTCAACTACACATTCATCTCCAAGTTCTACCTGGGGATCTTCATCCCCGTTATAGGCCTCTTCGTTTACGCGCTGCTGTACGCGCGGCACCGCTGGTGGGGTGGCACCACGTGGATGCACATCTACTCGTGGACCCGCGGGCCCAACCCCCAGGCACGCCTCATGCGCTCGGTGACAAGGAGGAGAGCTTATAACGAGTATGAGAACTCGATCGTGCACGCGTCGCTCAAGTGGCTGGACCTGTGCTACGTCTCAGTGATGGTCCGCGTGCTGTCTGTCTACAAGGTAATGCCACCTACAATCACATTGACTGCATTGACTGCATCGTGCATGTGTCGCTCTCAAGTGGCTGGACCTCTGCTATGTGTCCGTGATGGTCCGCGTGCTCTCCGTGTACTTGACACGTAGAGCACGCTACTATCCGCACCTCATTGATCGGATTGACCTCATTGATCAATGGTGTGATTGTAGCACTACCATTGATTGATCACATCACATGGATTTCACTTACCTCCGCAGCCCACCTGTTTATCCCTGACAGATCACATCACATGGATTTCACTTTTGAGGCGCCTCAAAAGCCATTGATCACATCACATGGATTTCACTTGCCGCTTTGGTGTTTCAGAGATGGTTCCCCCCCACCCCCCCCCAACCCCCTCCCCCCCTTTTGCCCATCTCATGACAGTGCTGATGGCAACAGCATGATGCACACGCATCTCATACCGTCTCCCTCCCCCTCCCCCTCGTCCTCTCTCTCACCCTCCCCACCTTCTCCCCTCCCTCGCCCCCACCCCCAGTCAATGACAGTGGGAGACGCGGTGCTGATGGCAGCAGCGCCGCAGATAGCATGGTTTTCATCGGCGCACATCGGCATGTTCACCGTCTCGCTGCTCGTCTCCATCATCTACCTCCTCGGCCTGCCCCTCTTCTTCGCCTTCCTGCTGCCCGCCCGCCTGAGACGCCCTCTCCCGCTCCCTCTCCCATCCCCTTCCCTCTTTCCCCCTTTCTCCCCCCCTCTTCCCCCCTCCCTCCTTCCCCCGCCTTCCCTCCCCCCAGTCCATGACAGTGGGGGACGCGGTGCTGATGGCAGCAGCGCCGCAGATCGCATGGTTTTCATCGGCGCACATCGGCATGTTCACCGTGTCGCTGCTCGTCTCCATCGTCTACCTCCTCGGCCTGCCCCTCTTCTTCGCCGTCCTGCTGCTCGACGCACACGCCTCCGACGCCCTCTCCTCCAACCTCTTCCGCCAGAGGTTCGGGTGGCTCACGGAGCGGTACAAGCGCGACTTCTGGTGGTGAGTGGGGATTCAAAGTGGTGGTGGTGTGGTGAGACTGTGGGGTATAGGCAGTAATGGGTTGGGAAGGGCACGCCTCTGACGCCCTCTCCTCCAACCTCTTCCTCCAGAGATTCGGGTGGCTCACAGAGCGGTACAAGCGCGACTTCTGGTGGTGAGTGGTGGTGCTGTTGTGATCAACTGTGGTGAGGGTAAGGGAATAATGGGTTGGGAAGGGCGCGCCTCCGATGCCCTCTCATCTCATCCAACCTCTTTCGCCAGAGATTCGGTTTGCCAGAGCGAGACAAGCGCGAATATGGGTACCCTTCCCAACCCACTATTGTGGGTGAGTGGAGGAGGCTTAGGAGTTAAAGTGCACAGCCTTAGCGGTATGCTGATACCCACTTCTCTAGCCGTGTTGAAAACAATGAACTCAACTAAGCAATATTCCTTCCAGAGTATGTTTTCTGAGAATTCTCAAGCAGCGTGCTGATGCCCCCCAAAACATGCTCTTCTCTAGCCGTGTTGAAAACAAGAAGCAAGATTCCTTCCTCCTTTTCATCTCTCCCAACTTCTCTCTATCTCTGTGTCTTCCACCTATGCGTCTCTCCTCTCCCCATCACGGTCTCTTGTCTGTGTCTCTCTGCCTCTCTACCGTTGAAGTTTGTTGGATTCGAAACGCAGCAAGCCTGCTAAGAGAACGATCTGTTTTGTTTGAGATTAGTTTTGAGAATTCTCAAAGCTAAGAGAACGATCTGTCGCATGTGAACGCGTTTCTCCCCATCACGGTCTCTCGTCTGTGTCTCTCTGCCTCTCTACCCCTGACCATCACTCCAGGTGGCATCTGGTGACAATGGTGCTGCGCCTGGTTCACGCGCTCGTGCTTGTGTTCCTGCAGCAAGACACTCGCGCGCAGGTCAGTGAGAAGTTTGATGTCGGGAGGGCAGGCAGGCAGGCAGGTGGGTGGGTGGGGCAGACAGGTGGGAATGCACATGTGTCGGAGCATCGTTGTTGCACAATGTGTCAATGGGTTTCACATAATTCATACAGTTTCACTACACACTACGGACCATTATCGCTTCCCTCTATCTCGCTCTCCTTCCCCTCCCCTCCCCCAGATCGTGATCATCCTCCTGCTCCAAGCACTGCGGATCGGCCCACAGTACCCTTCCTCATCCTCATGCCGGTCCCACTGCCCTTTCCTTCCAGATCGTGATCATCCTCCTGCTCCAAGCACTGCGGATCGGCCCACAGTACCCTTCCTCATCCTCATGCCGGTCCCACTGCCCTTTCCTTCCAGATCGTGATCATCCTCCTGCTCCAAGCACTGCGGATCGGCCCACAGTACCCTTCCTCATCCTCATGCCGGTCCCACTGCCCTTTCCTTCCAGATCGTGATCATCCTCCTGCTCCAAGCACTGCGGATCGGCCCACAGTACCCTTCCTCATCCTCATGCCGGTCCCACTGCCCTTTCCTTCCAGATCGTGATCATCCTCCTGCTCCAAGCACTGCGGATCGGCCCACAGTACCCTTCCTCATCCTCATGCCGGTCCCACTGCCCTTTCCTTCCAGATCGTGATCATCCTCCTGCTCCAAGCACTGCGGATCGGCCCACAGTACCCTTCCTCATCCTCATGCCGGTCCCACTGCCCTTTCCTTCCAGATCGTGATCATCCTCCTGCTCCAAGCACTGCGGATCGGCCCACAGTACCCTTCCTCATCCTCATGCCGGTCCCACTGCCCTTTCCTTCCAGATCGTGATCATCCTCCTGCTCCAAGCACTGCGGATCGGCCCACAGTACCCTTCCTCATCCTCATGCCGGTCCCACTGCCCTTTCCTTCCAGATCGTGATCATCCTCCTGCTCCAAGCACTGCGGATCGGCCCACAGTACCCTTCCTCATCCTCATGCCGGTCCCACTGCCCTTTCCTTCCAGATCGTGATCATCCTCCTGCTCCAAGCACTGCGGATCGGCCCACAGTACCCTTCCTCATCCTCATGCCGGTCCCACTGCCCTTTCCTTCCAGATCGTGATCATCCTCCTGCTCCAAGCACTGCGGATCGGCCCACAGTACCCTTCCTCATCCTCATGCCGTTCCCACTGCCCTTTCCTTCCAGATCGTGATCATCCTCCTGCTCCAAGCACTGCGGATCGGCTCACAGTACAAGTCGTCGCCGCTCGCCTCACTCTCCCTCGACTATCTCCAAGCCTTCCTCTCGCTGGGTCACTTCTTCTTCACCCTCGGCCTGCTCTGCTTCAACTACATCAAACTCCCCGCCTTCTCCCAGGCTGTCTTCGCCCTCTCCTCCCTCCTCATCCTCGCTCCCGCCGCCTTCTCCCTCGTCTTCGAAGCAATCAACAAGGACTTAGAAATAGTAAACCGGCAGCTGTTAAACCGAGTGTGGAAGGGCGAGCGGCGGAGAAATAAAGCCAAGTATGACAAAATGGACCCGTATGACTTAGTCCCGCCGCAGGAGATTTCTGCGTGGTTCCGCCCGCACGTCGTCTTCCCGCTTCTCTTAGCTAAGCGCGCGCACGAGCGGAAACTTCTGCTGAAAGTTCGCGACCGCGTGCAGACATGTAAGCTAGCGGGAATGGCGCCAGTTGATTGGGTGAGTCATCTGAACAAGCCGCAGTTATACGCGGTCTTGAGTCAGGCTTTACTGGGGGCTAGTGCGGGGCACATCACGATTGCTAGGGTTCCTAGAAAGGGGACGTTTTGTCGGGAGCATGGGACGTGGCATGCTGCTGGGGAGGAGTGCGGCTTTGTGAAGAGAGCATGGGGGATGCGAGGAGGAGGAGAGGGAGGCGGGGAGGGAGGAGGAGAGGGAGGGGGAGAGAGAAGGGGGGAGGGAAGGCAGCTACTGATGGCACCTGGTGGGGTGGGAGGGGAGGGAGCAGGGGCAGGAGGACCAGGAGCAGGAGGGGGTGCAGGAAGAATGGGAGCAGGAGCAGCAGCAGCAGCAACGTCAGCGCAGCTGCTGTCAGCAGCACCATGGGTGCCGAGGATAGAGAGGCATGTGAGCTGGGCGTCGTACGGCAGCAGCAGGGACTTCGACGGCAGCGCCTCCGGCCGCAACGCCGCCTCTGCAGCCGCCGCCGCTGCTGCTGCTGCTGCTGCGTCGCCTGGGATGTCTCCATTCGCCCCTGCAACAGGGACTCCGGGTGGGGCTGGTCTCGCTATGTCCCCGCTTTCTGGCATGTCACCCATTCATGGCATGTCACCCATTCATGGCATGTCACCCATTCATGGCATGTCACCCATTCATGGCATGTCACCCATTCATGGCATGTCACCACTCTCAGGAGCAAACAGTGCTCTGCCTTCCAGCACGGTGCAGCACGGCATGCATGGTGCTTCTGGTGCTGCTGGTGCTGCTGGTGTGTCGCCCATACACGGTGTGTCGCCCATACACGGGGTGTCGTCGTCGCCGTCGCTGGCGCTGCATGGCATGTCGCCGCTTGCCCCAGCAGCAGCAGGAGGACCTAGCATGTCGCCGCTTGCCCCAGCAGCAGCAGGAGGACCGGGTGCGTCCCCCCTGTCTCGTGTGTCGGGTCCTGGAACAGACGTGGAGGGAGGAGGAGGAGAGTCCCCCCTCTCATGGGCGCTGCAAGGTGGAGGAGGAGGAGCAGGAGGAGGAGGGGCAGGAGGAGCAGGAGCAGGAGGAGGAGGAGGAGGAGAAGGAGGGGGAGGAGGCATGGAGAATGGAGGGATGGGGCAAGCGAGGACAGAGAGCATCAAGGTGCATGGGCTGGTGTCATGGGCACAGGCAGGTAGCGAGGGTACTGGGGGTGGGGAGAAATTCGAGAGGCTGGGTGGTGATGGCGCGGAGGGAGGCCATGGAGGAGGAGGAGGAAGAAATGGAGGAGGAATCGAGGTTCAAAGAGAAGGGGAGGGGGGAGTGGAAGGCGAAGCAGGGGGAAGGGGCGGAGGAGGAGCGGGAGGAGCAGGGGGGGAAGCAGGTGGGGGAGAGGGAGGGGGAGAGGGAGGGGGAGTGGAGTACGTGGAAGCAAAGATGAACATGGCAGAGCTGACTCTCACCTTCCAGCGCCACCTCTCTGTGCTCGTGAGGGCGGAGAAGACCAAGAAGGATGGGTCCCTGCGCCTGCTCTTGCAGTCCGAATGCATCCCGGATATTCTCAGCTGGCTCACCAGCTCTGACTGGTGAGTGGTGTGGTCGTGTTGCCCCGCAAAAACTGCTCATAAGACAGTGGTTCGGTTTGGTTGGGGGTGGGTTGCCTCAAGGGCGTTTGCTGCAGCGAGCTCACTCTCACCTTCCAGCTGCACCTCTCTGTGCTGCTGAGGACCGAGAACACCAAGAGGGATGTGTTGCTTGCTGTGATGAGGTAAAGTGCAAAACACTTGTGGTTTTGGGTTTGGGTTGGGCTGGGATGGGCTGGGATGGGATGGGATGGGATGGGATGGGTTGGGTTGAATCTGAGGGCACCTCTCATCTCCCACTCCTTCGTCCTCTCCCCACTGCAGCGCCCAGGCAGATCAGATGCTTTTAAGGGAGCTGGTGCTGGCGGTGCGAGTGGCAGTGAGAGAGTGGCGCAGCACTATAAGAGACTGGCAGGCTGAACTGGTTTCGTGGTGTGCGGTGCTTTTACCCTGTCATACACCCATCATCCCCCCCATCCTCTATGCACCCCCTCGCCCTCCTGTCTCCCTTTCCCTCCTGCAGCGCCCAGGCGAATCAAATGCTTTTGAGAGAGCTAATGCTGGCGGTGCGAGTGGCAGCGTTAGAAGAGACCGGAGGGCTGGACTGGTTCCGCGGCGTGTGGTGCTTCTATCCACCACTCAACCCTCCTCTCCTCATGGTCCCATCCACACTACCCTCATTTCTCCCTCTCCCTCCTGCAGTGCCCAGGCGGATCAGGTGCTTCAAAGGGAGCTGGTGCTGGCAGTGCGGGTGGCAGCACTGGAAGAGACCGGAGGGCTGGACTGGTTCCGTGATGTGCGGTGCTTGTGCGCACCCCTCCCAATCCCTCCTTTCTCCCTCTGCCTGCGCAGTGCCCAGGCAGATCAGGTGCTTCAAAGGGAGCTGGTGCTGGCGGTGCGAGTGGCCGCACTGGAAGAAACCGGAGGGCTGGACTGGTTCCGTGATGTGCGGTGCTTGTGCGCACCCCTCTCCTCTCTCCCCCTTCTCCCTCCTTACTGGATGCAGCGCCCAGGCAGAGCAGATCAGATGCTGCTGAGGGAGTTGGTGCTGGTGGTGCGAGTAGCAGCTCTGGAGGAGACTGGCGGACTGGACTGGTTCCGTGACGTGTGGTGCTTTTACCGCAACCCTAAACTCTCCTCTCTCTCCCTTTCCCTGTCCATGCAACCCACACCACCTCTTCTCCTCTGCAGCGCCCAGGCAGATCAGATGCTTTTAAGGGAGCTGGTGCCTGCGGTGAGAGTGGCAGCTCTGGAGGAGACAGGTGGGCTGGACTGGTTCCGCGGCGTGCGGTGCTTCTAACCCAACCACTCAACCCTCCTCTCCTCATGCCTCCGTCCACACTACCCTCATTTCTCCCCTCCCTTTCCCCCCTGCAGCGCCCAGGCGGATCAGATGCTGCTGAGGGAGCTGGTGCTGGCAGTGCGGGTGGCAGCACTGGAAGAAACCGGCGGGCTGGACTGGTTCCGCGGCGTGCGGTGCTTCTACCGCAACCGATTCGCGTTCGTCAACAAGGGGAGAAGCAAGGGGAAAGGGGGGGATAAGGGGAAGAGCGGGGGGAAAGGGAAGGGATTGGAGGGGGGGACGGGTGGAGGGGAGAACGGTCAGGCTGGTGGGGGAGGCAGCCAGGCTAAGGGCCTTCTGGGGTGGTTTCAACGAGGTGATAAGCAGACAGCTGATGGTGCTGCTGCTGCTGATTCTGATGCTGCAGCTCCTTCATCTAGTGCCTATGGGAGCAAGGGCAACCTGCTTTGAGGTTCCTTTTGAGAGTGTATGGTAGAAGGGTGCGAGTTGAATGAACACCCTACGTACCATAAACATTGGTTTTTTTCGGGTGTGGAAAAGCCATAGTTGGGAGGGTTGCAAAATCTGCTGGGAGATCACACACATTCTGTGTCAATGCCTGTGGTAAGCTGTTCAACATGTACAGTATATGTTTGTTTTCCTTCATATTTTGAGGGAAATGTGTGCTCTATAAATGTACCACCATATCTCTCTCATCGTGAACTGGCCCTCAAGCATGTTGGGAACAAATAGTTTAAGCGCCTCTGTCGTGTCAGAACTCAAGACACAAGCGAAGCAGCTCAAATCGAAGCATCGCGAGTCAACCCTCGGAAGTTAACGTAACCGCTGGAGGTTACGAGAAAGTCAAAGGTCAGCGACCTTTGACCTGACGCAGCGCGACAGCAAGGACACACAACTGACTCGACATTGAGCAGTTGCCCGAGTCGCACTGTATCGAACCGCAACAGTAAAGTAGTCATAATGTCTCTTCATATTCTTTGTACTCATATATTTATTCCTGTATCTCTTTGCTTTAATCAACTTACTTTGCCCTCACATACTAGCGCAAGGTGGTTCAAGGACTTTATTCAACGCTTCCGCTATTACATCACTTACTCAGACTTGAACTCTACAAAGATCCTAGGGCTTTTCAGCCCAACATGGTATAAGAGCAGTTAGAGTTAAAAGCTACTATTTTTTCAACACTCAATACATCAAGAAGACATGTCTGCTAGAAAGGAGAGGAGCTCCTCCAACGGCTCTCCCGGTACTACCCCTACTCCACCTCTTGCCTGTGGCCTACAGACAGAGGAAGGGACAACGACGAGACCAGCAGCTGGGTCTACGGAAACACCCGCAAACCAAGGCGCGGGCTTCGATCCAAGCATGATGGAGAAATTCTTCTCCTTCATGTCCTTCTACGAGCAGCACCAGCAAGGAGTACCTGCGCAATCAAACAACAGCAACAACAACAACAACGTGACGCCCATGAGTCTCGATGGCTCATCCTACGCACGCGGGAATCAACATCAACAACCTACCTTCGCTCCGTACGAGCCCCAGCGCGGCTCTGTCAGCTTCATGCCGCAACCACAGCCTGCACCGGGACAAGAGAGAGCGCTGGACGCATTACAAGTTCAGTCGCAATTCGCGCATGTTCTAAAACTACAAACGACAAAGCCTTTTGACGGAAAGGACTTCTTTACCTGGTCGTTCGAATTCGAGCTGATGATGGAAGGAGCGCAGATCCTTGGCTTCTTCGACGGGTCCCTGCCATATCCAACAAACGGCACACAGTATGAGAAGCAGCAGTACACCTATCAATCGATGATGGCGTACACAATACTACTGAGGAACATCACCCCGACCCAACAGCAGAACATAAGGACTTACCGAGGTTACGGTAACTCCGCGGAGCTCGCGTACGACCATTTGAAGAACCTGTATCAAGCAACAGACAGTGTAAACCAAAGTCGGTTAATGGCGCAGCTGACAACAATAGAAATGAAACCAGGCGAGAAGGGCATGGAGTATATCAGTCGCTGCCGCGAGCTGCGCGACGGGCTTCTTCGATGTGGGGGATCAATCTCAGAAGACGCCTTTGTCACGGTTGTCATCGGCGGTCTCGGCCCTCACTGGCGCTCCACTCGCGCCATACTACGAGCACACGGGAGAATCTCCGAAGCAGCACTCTGCGCCGAAATCCATGCCGAGCAGCAGGACATGGACCTGCAAGAAGAACGACATAAGAAGAAAACGTCAGTACCAGAGTTCGCGTTTCACACCCAGCGACGCTACAACAACAACAACAACAGTCGACAGCAACAACAACCGAAGCCAGTACCTCCGTTTTGCCACATCGGCAAGACTTCAGGGCATCCTCGTACGCACTGCCCGTATCGTCATCAATCGACAACACCACAGCGACAACTTCGACCTTCGAGCAGCCAAGTCACTTCAACACAAGCTACCCCGACACCTTCAGTCGAAGCTTCAACAACTCCAACAGGACAACCTGCACAAAAAGCAAGAAACATCGTCAACTGCATGGTAAAGATAACAGATTCTTGCACAACCGAGTCACCACCATACTACTCACCAGAAGAGCAACTCGACAACAGCACGCCTTGCCGCGAGTCCCTTCAACTGAACCCGACGTACGCCGCCATTGCTCAAAGCGAACCGTCCGGGAAAGATACATGGTTCTTGGACAGTTGCTGTGGACAGCACATGTGCTCTTCGGGACGCTTCGTCCAACGCGAACATCGACTTCAACGAGAGGTCGTCATCACAGTCGCCAACAACCAGAACCTGCGCACACAACGACAAGGAGTAGTACGACTTCAGTCACAAGAGACAAATGTTATACTGCATATGTCAAAGGTACTAATCGCGGAGGGACTCGTCTACAACTTACTGAGCGTCAGCAAGTTGATGGCGAAAGGCATTCACTTGGAAGCCGACAGTACCACCCAGGAGTTCAAATTATACCACGGGAAAGGCGGCCTCTACATCGGGAAGGCGGTCTTGAAGAACAACGTCTTCGTCCTAGACTTCGTCCCAGACCTGGGCACTGCAGACAGCGACGCCATCGTGAACTTCGCCGACTGGACACATCCTCCGGATCTTGATCCGGACTTCAGCCCGGAAGGCTTCTGGTACTCGCACACCATCCCTGAAGCAGAAAGAACACGCGCGTTAGCAACAATTCAACATTCGGCAGCAGCAGAAACGTCATCGGCAGCAGCAGAAACATCATCGGCAGCAGCAGAAACATCATCGGCAGCAGCAGACACAACATCGGCAGCAGCAGCAGGACCAACGACACCAGTCCTCGTCAACGAAACACCACCAACACCCGCACAGCAGTTGAAACCAACTCAACGAGAAGTCCACAGAAGCGCAAACTTCGTTGCCAGCTTTTACTCCAACTCCGACGCGTATCGACGCTCACCCGAACACCGCGCCTCCGAAGACATATGGCACGCACAAATGGGACATCCAAGCAACACAGTGTTAAATAACACGATAAGAGCAGGAGTCCTAGACAAGGACTCATTATTACTACCCGACGGCAGAGAACTCCAAAAGGCACGAGGGACTTGTCTTACCTGCCCCGAAGCCGACTTACCACATCGACCGTTCACTCCTCATCACAACCCGAGCGCACCCGCGTACACACCACTCGAGAAGGTGTACAGCGATATTCTCTTCAATCGAGAACCAGGACAAGTTACCTACAACTACACGATTACCTTCATCGACGCCGCCACTCGATACGTCTGGCATCTAAATCTACCCAGCCGCGACATGGCACTCGCAGCGTTCGCCGCCTGGCTACCAGTAGCAGAAAGAGAGTCGGGAGCACAGCTGAAAAGCTTCCAGTCAGACGGAGGAGGAGAATACACCTCTCAGCGATTCAAGCAGTACCTGGCGGAAAGAGGAATCAAGAAACTCCTCTCCCTTCCCTACGCCCATCAGCAGCAAGGTGTCGCAGAACGAATGAACAGGACTCTGCAGAACAGCATGCGCAAACTGTTACGTGGCATGCGGCTACCCAACCACCAGTGGCCTGCAGCAATGGACCATGCTGTCATGCTGCACAACTTGATGTCGTCGTCCTCACTTCCGAACAACGCATCACCGCATCTGCTGTGGACAATGAAACAGGGCAGCACAAAAATGTTAGGAGTTTTCGGGTGCATGGTACAGTACCGACCCCCAGAAGCACGAGCGGGAAGATTTTCACAACGCGCACAGTGGGGACTACACCTCGGCATCGAAAAGAATTACAACGCGTGGAAAATCTTCGACGTCCACTCCAAGGAAACAGTAGCAGCACGTGATGTGATCTTCTACGAACGACTCACGCTTCAGACGTACCTCGCCAACTTGCACGAAAATCAGGACCCCACAGGTGGTTTTCGTGGTGACCGAGCCTTCGCCTCAGCAGCGGACGAAGCAGACTGGGACGAGCAGAACGTCGACAACGCATCAGAAGAAGCCGGACCTCTCCCGTTCTGCTCCGTCAACGTCCCCATGGACGAAGAAAATCCTCGCGAAAGCGCCAACGCCGAAGTCTTCTACCACTTCGCCGACAATGGTTACGTAACAACTGCGATAGTCAACACCAACGAAGCAGAAAGAATAGGACCGAATTTCATAACCGACCCAGAAGCGGGAGATGAAGCAGCTTATCCCGAGGACACAACACTCCCCCGTTACTCACAGACTGGACTGCAGATTCTCGGCCTCGTCACCGCAGTCCACGGCCATCCTCTTCCTGAAGAGCCTGCGACAGTTCAGCAGGCTCTGGGGGGGGAACACAGGGAGAAATGGCGCAGCCATGGACAGAGAATTAAAGGCCTTGGAGGAACGGAACACTTGGAAAGTCGTTCCAGTTAGCGTGGCAAGGAACAAGACCATCCTCACCGGGAAATGGGTCTTCCGCATCAAAACGAAGGCAGACGGCACAATCGAGAAGTTCAAAGCACGCTGGGTCGTGCGAGGATTCGATCAGGAACACGGACGGGACTTCACCGAGACATTCGCCCCGGTTAGCCGACACGCCTCACTCCGAATTCTCCTCGCGATCGGCGCCATGAAGAAAAGAAAACTACGGCAAATCGACGTTGCTAACGCCTTCCTCTACGCACCCGTCGACGCCGAAATCTTCGTTGAGCTCCCACATGGTACCCACGGGGAACCTAATCAGGTTTGCCAGCTACTCAAATCGCTCTACGGAATCAAACAGGCCCCACGGCTGTGGCAACAGCACCTACACACCCGCCTCACCCGCATCGGATTCCGTCAACTGCCTCACGACCAAGGCATGTACCGACTCACCAAAGACGCCAACTACATTCTGCTTATCGTCTACGTCGACGATTTACTCTACATCGGTTCTACCGACGACATAACTACCTGGTTCGAAAGGGAGCTGAAGAGGGACCTCACACTCACGGTCTCCA